TTTTGCCATACATTGACATGAATCAGCCATGGATTTACATGTGTTCCCCATCCCGATCCCCCCTCCCGCCTCCCTCTCCATCCCATCCCTCTGGGTCTTCCCAGTGCACCAGCTCTGAGCACCTGTCTCATGCATCCGACCTGGGCTGGTGATCTGTTTTACATGTCCTTTAAAACTAGGTAAAAGGCGGGCTTTCCTGGTGGCTCAGTGGTGAAGAATTGTGTGCCGATGCTGGGGACATGGGTTCAATCCCTGGTCCAGGAAGATCCCACATCTGCAGAGTAACTAAGCCCACGTGCCATAACTACTGAGCCTGTGCTCCGGAGCTGGGAGCCGCGACTACTGAGGCCATGTGCCCGAGGGCCCAGGCTCTGTGACAGGAGAGACCACGGCAGTGAGAAGGCTAAGCATTGCAGCTGGTGAGTCGCCCCCCTCCCAGCCCCAGCCACAACTAGAGAAAACCCGCTCGCAGCAACAGAGACCCAGAACCACCAAAAATAAATAAATACATGACCCTTTTAGTAAAGGTATGCAAAAGGGAAGGGATGGTGGGATAGCATTTAGGTTTCTTTAAAATTTAGTTTATTTATTGGATGTGATCGAACTTCACTGCTGTGAGCTTCTCTTCTCTAGTTGCAGAGAGTGGGGGATACCCTCCAGGTGTGGTATGAGGGCTTCTCGTTGCAGTGGCCTGTCTTGTGGAGGACAGGCTTAGGGCATGTGGACTCAGCAGTCGCGGCTCCCAGGCTTCGGAGACCCGCTCAGGAGCTGTGGTGCGTGGGCTTAGTTGCTCCGAGGCATGGGGGATCATGCTGGACCAGGGACTGAACTCATGTCCCCTGCATTGGCAGGCGGATTCTTTACCATTAAGCCACCAGGGAAGCCCCAGCATTTAGGTTTTAACCATCTTCCATATTTTAAACAGAAAAGATGGAACGTAGTGAGTAAATTCAGTAAATCACTGAAAAACCATTGAAAGGGATGGAGAGGCAGGCTCTAGGCTCAGACTCCAGGAGAGACTCTACAACACAGAACTGTCATCCCGAGGAACGAGGCTGTTTATCTGAAAGGGTCAGGGGAGCAGGAAGTCCCCAAAGACGGAATGTTTGACCCCAGAACCACAGGTCAGGTGCTCGACTCCCAGCAGAAGAATGGAAGCCTCGCACTCAGGACACTTCCTTCTCCAGGTTACTGGACTTTAATTCATGTCTCAAGGGATTGAATTTGATTGGTGGAAAGTAAATAATATCCTCGTTGCTAGGGAGTCTGGGAAGTCTAAAGCTGCTACGTGAAGACTCACCAGAGGGTGGTTGGAATAGGTTATGTCCAGACCAAGCTGCCATATCCTGCACAAGCGGTACGGCAACTGTAAAAGTGGAAGACCACCTGGTCCATCACCCTTGTGTGTGTTAATTATAAATAGTGGTTAGTTGCTCAGTCATGTCCAACTCTTTGCCACCCCTGGGCTGTAGCCCACCAGGCTCCTCTGTCCATGGAATTCTCCAGGCAAGAGCACTGGAGTGGGCTGCCATTTCCTTCTCCAGGGACCTTCCTGGCCCAGGTCTCCTGCATTGGCAGGACGGTTCTTTACCACTGAACCACCAGGCAAGCCAGGTTATAAATCACCAACTTGAATATTCTGCATGTGTTTGACTGGTGTGAGACAATTTCTGATCTGTAATTTGCAGTCCACTAAGACAGCCCACTTACCCAAGATCCCACCTACCAACTAAAGATCCTGTATGCCGCTAGTAAGACCCGGCACAGCCCAATAAATAAATAATAAAAAAATGAAGCAGTGATTCTCCTTCAAAAAAAAACAAACAAACTAGTGATGACCAAGAGCCCATAGGAAGTTACTCAAGACAAATATGCCAAATGCACCTCACTTTAAAATAAGCCTTCTAAATGGCTAGGTTTATGTAAGTGTTTTAGTGTATTTTGATTGTATGAAAGGATTTGATCCATTTTCTGTGATGTCCTTCTAGAAGAGATGGTTTAGTTTGTTTTTCTTTTTTTTTAAATGGTTTATTTATTTATTTATTTTTTTAGAGATGGTTTAGTTTGGATTGCATGGTGAATTGGTTACTTTTTGCTGCAAAAGGAACCACTCCAAACTCAAAATACCAGTCATTTTATTTTCCGAGGCTTCTGTGGGTTAGCACCAGACATCTGGTGGTTTGACTGGGGCTGGTCTAGGGAGCCTCAGCTTCACGTCGAGTTTGTGCTTCATGAGGTGTCACCCTAGCCTTTGCTTCTTCACAGGTCAGTCTTAGGACAGCGAGAGGACAGGCGCCAAAGGAAGGGTGAGCCTCTGCCTGTAGCACCTTTGCTGACGTCCCGTCGACCAAAGCGAGTCACATGTCCACGGAGGACCGAGGTCACCTAGAAGCATGGATACAGGACAATGGGGCGCAGCAGGGGCGGGTCATGATGGTGACAGTGAACCACCGATGTACTGACTGAGCGGATTTCTTTCTAGTTGGACGACAGTTCCCAAAGAGGGCGACTGCATTGGTCCTGTCCTAGTCTAGATATTTGTTAATGACTTCGGGAAACAAAATGAAATACAGTTATAATTTTGGCCATGACATAAAATCTGATGAATGAAATAAATCCTGAACACCACTTTGTCAATTTGGATCACTCCAAAACCAATAAAAACACAATGTATCAGTGTTAAATAAAAAGTTTTGCATTTACGTTTGTTAAATAAATTATGGTCAGGCAGCATTGAGAGTGTATGAACGGTACTTGGGGACTTGCCTGGTGGTCCAGTGGTCAAGACTCTGTGCTTCCAATGCCAGGATTGTGGGTCCCATCCCTGGTCAGGGAAGGAAGACCCCACATGCCCCTGTGGCACAGCCAATCAAAGAAAGAAAGAAACAAAGAAAACTATGTTTGATGCATATTTATGAGGCTAAAATGATCAAGATGAATAAATAAAAATACAGTTCACAGGTAAAAGTAATAGATAATAGTTGAATTTAACTTAGATGACCATTATATCTACTACTGTGGGCAGGAATCCCTTAGAAGAAATGGAGTAGACATCATAGTCAACAAAAGAGTCCGAAATGCAGTACTTGGATGCAATCTCAAAAACGACAGAATCATCTCTGTTCGTTTCCAAAGCAAACCATTCAATATCACAGTAATCCAAGTCTATGCCCCGACCAGTAACGCTGAAGAAGCTGAAGTTGAATGGTTCTGTGAAGACCTACAAGACCTTGCTCCTTGGAAGGAAAGTTATGAACAACCTAGACAGCACATTAAAAAGCAGAGACATTACTTTGCCAACAAAGATCCATCTAGTCAAAGCTATGGTTTTTCCAGTAGTCATGTGTGGATGTGAGAGTTTTACTAAAAGGAGAGCTGAGCACCAAAGAACTGATGCTTTTGAACTGTGGTGTTGGAGAAGACTCTTGAGATTCCCTTGGACTACAAGGAGATCCAACCAGTCCATCCTAAAGGAAATCAGTCCTGAATATTCATTGGAAGGACTGATGCTGAAGCTGAAACTCCAATATTTTGGCCACCTGATGGGAAGAACTGACTCATTGGGAAAGTCCCAATGACACTGGGAAAGATTGGAGGCGGGAGGAGAAGGGGACGACAGAGAATGAGATGGTTGGATGGCATCACCGACTCAACGGACATGAGTTCGAGTAAACTCCAGGAGTTGGTGATGGGCAGGGAGGCCTGGCGTGCTGCGATTCATGGGGTCACAAAGAGTCGGACACGACTGAGTAACTGAACTGAACTGAACTGAACTGAAAAGGAATAGTTCCCTCAGAATAACATATTCCCAGTGGATTTTATTTCTGGGTGAAAATTTGTAGAAGAATATGGAGCTAGAGAAAAATCTAGAAGGTGGCTTGTATGATGAAATATTTCAAATATAATCTCCTGGAGGAAAAGTTGACCGAGTACTTGCTCTAGAGAAAAGAGGACTGAAGACAGAGAAGAGGCATAATCGCTCTTCTCACAAGTGGAAGGAGGGTCTTAACAGGGTGAAAATAAGAACAGTGGGAGGAAGTTGTCTGTAGACAGATTTTAGCTCAAGGTAGGTTACTGTACTTTAATAGCTGGAGTTGTCCAGGGAGGAGTGGAATATCTTACAAGTTAATGATCTCTCTCCCTGGAAGCTCAAGTGGAGTCTGGAACTCTCTCTGAGATAGAAGAGATTCTCAAGGAATCTAAATTCAACATTGTCCACCTTCTTTCTCTCCTGTATTTTCACTTATTAAATTATGCTTTCCTCCATTATTATTATCCTTTTTATTCCTGGGGTGCTCTTTAAACATTTTAAACAGAATCATGAGTTTTCATTTTGGTTAACAAAAGAAGACATGTAAAAAAAAAAAAAGTCCACCTTCCTTTGGCTAATTGCAAAGCCTCCTTTTTTTTTCTCCCCATTCAGGGTCTGCTTGGCCAATATTTGGAACATACTGTTATGACCTTCGAAGGAACAGGTGTACTCTTTTAGTTCAGCTTTGTCTCCTCAGAAATAAGGAAACTGAAGTCTAGAGGCTTAGAGAGACTTGTACAAGGTAACACATATTCCTACTGGCAGAGCAAGCCTAGAACAAGGAGAGCATCACTGTGTGAAGACAGCTTAGTCTTTAGATTTCTGAATACTTGTGTTCTCATCCTGGTATATATTCTGCTAGCCACTTTAGTTTTCTTTACTAAAGTAAAGAAGACAATGATACTTACAATAGGCTAAGTGAGAGAACCCACATAAAGTACCTCGTTCCCAGTAGATGTCCAATAAGTAAATGTTGCTACTCCTCCATCCACGCCCAGGACTCCGTGTTGCCCCATGTGATAAAGCTTTATTTCAGTTAGTAGCAGCCACGTCCTCCGGCGCTCCTAGAACACCGTGTCTCAGCTGAGGACAGTCTTGGCTCCTGCAAACCATCCGGGCATAATTATTAACAGCCTCCATTTCATTCTCAGCAGTGTCCTGATTTAGATAAGTCATAGAACTATCCTACCTAGATCCTGCTTAGTGCCCTCCTGAGGGCATTTTTCAGTTCTTTGTTCCTCATACTATAGATCAAGGGGTTTAAGATGGGAGTGATGAAGGTGTAGACCACAGACGCCACCCGGCCCGTGGCAGGGGAGTAGCTGGACCTGGGGGACAAGTATATGAAGCTGGTGCAGCCGTACTGCAGTAGGACCACCGAGAGGTGGGAGGAGCACGTGGAGCAGGCCCGGCGGCGCCCTTCCGCCGACCGGATCCGTAAGACTGTCGCCACGATGAAGACATAGGAGACGAAGATCATCGAGAGGGGGATGCTTAGGACGATAAAGCTGATGACATGCAGAGCCGTCTGCTGAACACGCGTGTCTGCGCAAGCCAGGCGCATGACAGCGGGCATGTCGCAGTAGAAGTGGTAGATTTCACTGTTGTTGCAGAACGGGAGGCGGAAGATTAAAACGGTCAGCGGTAGCGACAGCGAGAACCCTAGTACCAGGGACCCCACCATCAGCTCCACACACAAGGGCCAGCTCATGAGGAGGGTGTATCCTAAAGGGTAACGGATCGCTATCAACCGGTCGTAAGCCATTACCGCGAGCAGGACGCAGTCAGCCCCTCCCAGGAAGACGAAGAAAAACATCTGGGCGCCACATCCAGCGATAGAAACGGGGGTTCTGCCCATTGAAAGAAGGTTTGCCAAGGCCAGGGGGGCGATGGAAGATGTATAGAGGATTTCCAGAGCTGCCAGGTTAGCCAGGAAAAAGTACATGGGAGTGTGGAGGGAATGATTGATCTGAACAGTAACTGCAATGAGGGCATTTCCACCCAGGCTGGCCAGGTACATCACCAGGAAGGCCACAAAAATCACCGCCTGGACCTTAGGGTCAGCTGAGAATGGACGAAAGAAGAATTGTACCTTTGCGGTTTTATTTATTTCCTCCATGGGTACCGCATTGGACCTATGAAAACGGAAGATGACATGAGTCTCTAAGTGTCTCTTTTGAATGTAAACTTTCTGTTTCCTGTTGGGGTACAGCTGATTAACAGAATTGCGGTAGTGTCAGCTGAACAGAGAAGGGACTCAGCATACATATATGGGTGTCCATTGTCCCCGAAACTGGCTTCCCACCCAGGCGTCCACGTATCACTGAGCGGAGTTCCGTGTGCTGTACCGTGGGTCCCGCCAGAGTCCCAGACTGTGTACTCCCCCATGCCAGGCGTCTCTTCTGACAGGATGCTTTCCCGGCTCCTCCGTGCACAGAGGTGCCTCGGCCGCTTTCATTTCACAGCCGATCATGTGACATTAAATTTATACACTTGCCCCTCTCTCACCTTTCTTCCTTTCCTTCCTGTGCTGAAGACTGAGAAATCCTCGGTGGTGGGGACTCTGACCACCTTTACTTTAATTCCAGTGTCTAGCACAGTACCTGGCAAAGAAAATTTCTCAAGAAGTACTTCTGAACAAATGAATGGATAAAGTCAATTTAAAGTTCAAATTTACAAAACAGATAAAATTGGGTATCAATTCATCATGGGAAATTTGAAATAAAAAATTTGAGGAACGTACAAGTAGATGCGTGTCAAAGTTTAAAGAAAACGGTGCGTTGTGATACTGTATCACAAGCTCTGTAGTTTGCGTACATACACGATTGATACTGTGTATAAAACAGATACCTAATGAGAACCTAGGGTAGCGCAGGGAACTCTACTTAATGCTTTGTGCTGATCTCAATGGAAAGGAAACCCAGAAAAGGGGATATATATGTATGAATAGCTGATGTATGCTTCTGTACAGTAGACACTAACAACGTTGTACAGAAACTATACACCAGAAAAATTTAAACAAACTGTAATTTAGTTTAAAACCTGTGGACTTTATTGGTTAGTTTTGCTTCCTCTGCTTTATCCAATAATATCAGTATTTATTGGTCCCTGAACATTGATAGTGTCCTTCAGAATTTCTCTTCTCTAAAGACTAATGTTATATGATATCACTCATGTGCAGAATCTAAAAAAGTGATACAAATGAACTTACTTGCAAAACAGAAACGGACTCACAGAGACCACACCCCGGGGAAGAGCTAGGGGTGGAGGGATAGATGGGAAGCTTGGAATTGGCGTGTGTTGTGCTTGGTCGCTCAGGCGTGTCCAACTCTCTGTGACCCCACAACTGCAGCCCACCAGGCTCCCTGTCCATGGGATTCTCCAGTTAAGAATACTGGAGTGGGTTGCCATGCCCTCCTCCAGGGGATCTTCCTGACCCTGGGATTGAACCCAGGTCTCCCGCATTGCAGGTGATTTCTTCACCATCTGAGCCACAGGGGAAGCCCAAGAATACTGGAGTGGGCGGCCGATCCCTTCTCCAGGGGATCTCCAGACCCAGGAGTTGAGCTGGGGTCTCCGGCATTGCAGGCGGATTCCTTTCAGCTGAGCTAGCAGGGAAGCCCGGGACTGGCATGTATGCACTGCTATGTTTAAACTGAACAAGGACCTGCTCTATAGCACAGGGAACACTGCTCACTGCTCCATAACAACATACATGGGGAAAGAATTTGAAAAAGAAGAGATACATGCATAACTGAGTCACTTTGCTGTACCTGAAACTAACACAACACTGTTAATCAAGTATGAAACAGAAATCAAGGACCTCCCTGGTCGCCCAGCGGTTCAGAATAAACCTGCCAAAGCAGAGAATGTGGGCTTGACCTCTGGTCTGGGAAGACTGCACATGCTGCAGGCCACGACTACTGCTCCTGCATTCCCTGAGCCCTTGCTCTGCAAGAAGAGAAGCCACTGCAATGAAGAGCAGCCCAGCTCACAGCAACCGGAGAAAGCCTGTGAGCAGCAGTGAAGGTTCAGGGCGGCCGAAAAGAAACAAGTAAACATTTAAACAACTAAAAGATTTCGCATACCTTTGCTTTGTTCCCTTCCCGCTACCCTATCAGTTCTTTCCGCTGTTATCTTCCATTGGGATTTTCGTGATGGCCTTCCCTCTAATCTTCCATTTCTCTTCTTTTCTCTCTATAATTCATCTTGCTCTCCATGATCACATAATTCATCTGCTTAAGGTTTTTTAATGCCTTCCTGTTTATTAAGTGCCAGCTTTCACACCCTCTGCTGGTTATGCCAGTCTCTCTTGGGTCTGACTTCTTTAGGCTAACCCCACTGAGGGCGGCCCTCGGTTATCCCTGCCACGCACCGTGTGGCCTACTCATTGGCCTCTTATCTATCTTTCACCTTTCTGCTTCATATAATTGTTCTCCTTCTAGCTAGAAAACGTCTCCCTTTTGCCTAATTTAGATCCTGCCCACTTTAGAAATTCTAGGTTATGTTCTCCTGTTGTGAAGTCTTTCTGGAGCACTCCAGTTTAAATCGCTCTCTCCTTTCTCCAAAGCTCTTCGTCACTCACAGTGTCATGACTTCGGGGTTAATATGCAGTCTTCACTGTCTCTGTGTGTCTCTCCAAATTACATTCGAGGTTCCTGGAGGACAAGGCCTCTGGCTTAGGACAAATTATCATTTATTCCAAGTTAAGTCCTAGGCAAAGTGACAGTGCTGAATACTTACTTGGGTTAGCTTGCTTCATCCATTCCAGTGGTCCCCAACGTTTCTGGCACCAGGGACCGGTTTTGTGGAAGACAGTTTTTCCACGGACCAGCGTTGGGGGAGATGGCTTGGGGATGATTTGAGTACATTACATTTGTTGTGCACTTTACTTCTATTATTATTACATCAGCTCCACTTCAAATCATCAGACATTAGACCCCAGAGGTTGGGGACACCTGTATTACACCACTTTAGTAAGCATGTACTATTATCTCCCCAATCTACAGATGAAGACATATAGGATTAAAAAGGTTAAGAAGTGCTTTGAAGTCAAGTAAATGAGCAGTAGGAAAGCTAGCATTTGAAAATCTGTTCATGGAACTTTTGTGCTTAACCTTTGTCTATACTACACTGCTTTCCTCTATGCTTTATGTCTCCGAAGTGGTGGCGTGGATGGTCAAGCATCAGCCTGCAATGCAGGAGACCCGGGTTCGATCCCTGGGTCAGGAAGATCCCCTGGAATAGGAAATGGCAACCCACTCCAGTATTTTTGCCTGGAGAATTCAACTGACGGAGGAGCCTGGAGGGCTGCAGCCCACGGGGTTGTAAAGAGCCGGGTGTCACCGAGCAACTAACACTTCCGGCACTTTCAAGCGGTTTTGTTATTTGATTATAGTTCAGTCATAGGGAGAACTCTGGATGGTCTATTGGAAAAAGAGCACCTAAGATCTGAGACCAAAAATGTTGGATTACAGTATTTCTGGACTAGAGAGGCATAATTATAATCTAGACCATGGCCTAATTGACCTTAATGCTTTATCTGTTAGCACAAATTTGGACTCACCTGAAGACAAAAGTAAAACCTTAATTTGGGAGCTCTGACTGTGGGATAAACAGGGAAGGGGGAATAATGTTCTGACCATCATTCAGAGGGCTGAAAGCCTGTTTGGAGCAGAGATTTCTGGGTCTCCTGGAGGTACTCGCGCCAGTTGGAGGATTCCTACATCAGATGCGCCCAAACAAATGTATCTTTGTCCTTATAAAACATTCTTGAATAATACTGTCTATATGTCATTATAAATGAGTTTTATATATGAATTTATAAATTCATAAATAGCATTCATAAAATTAGCTCATAAAATAAAATACGTTTTATGTTGTTGTTGAGTCACTAAGTCGCGTCTGACTCTTTGCAACCCTATGGACTGCAAATTTTAAATATGTCTGTAAATCTGAGAAAATTATATGTCTGAAGAGACTATTTACTTTCTGAAAGAGACTCCAAGAGTATTTTCTGGCAGCAGCATCTGGAAAGATGAGCCAAAATTATGTCCCTTCACTGTTAATACCTTGAGTCATATGGAATTCGCTTCTGAAAGTTAATAATGGTAGCATATAGGCAATCTCACATAATACTTTTCAACATAATACTTTCACAGCACAGTCTGAGTAAATCAAATGATATGTTCAGACGAACAGCATTCAACAAAAGGCATTATGCTCCTATTGCATAATACTGGATAATATTTATTGGGTCCTGTATGCCATGCTAATCTTGTTACAGGCATCTTTCCCTTAAATGGCCCTTCAGTCCTTTATTGTCTGTATTTTTTTTAGATGAAGACATTCAGGCTTAAAGGTTTTAACCAACTTGCCCAGCTGGCAAATGGGAAAGGAGCAATTCCTAGTTCAGGCTGAAGCAAATCTCAGCGTCTGTCATTAAAGTCAAGTATCCCTCGCTGAGCGGTGCTCTGTGTATGAGGCTGACTGCTGGGTGTCCGGGAGAGTCAAGTCCTTTCGTTCTAATTGTCCTTCATCAACAAGCCTTTTTCCGTAAAGTGAGTGCCACAAACCTTTCTCAGATCCTTACAAAGCCAGTGCTCAGAACCCTAACTTATAATCTCCCTCTTTTCTTTTCATGCTTTCTTTTCACCCTGTCTCACCAACTACTCCTTTAATCACTATTTATTTTCATAAATTCAAAACATTAATTTTTATTGGAGCACAGTTGCTTCACAATGTTAGTTGCTGCGCAGAGAGGGAACCGGCCGTGCAGACACTCACATCCCCTTTGCTGGCCTTCCGTCCCGCTCAGGCCTTCACAGCGGGCCGCGCGGAGCGCCCTGTGCTGCTGGTTTTCATTCATTATCCACCTTAATAAATATTAAGAGACACTTATTGAGACCCTCCACTATGTCAGGCATAGCTTTAGTTTCTGGGAGAAGAGGGAGAAGGGTGGAGAATGAGAGGGCGTGTCAACACTCCAAGAGCTCAAAATTGAACGAGAGATACAGTGATAAAAAGAACATAAGTCAAGTTCAGCTAAGGGTGTCGTAAAAGGAAAAGGTGTGTGGAAAACTCAGGCACATCTCTTTCTATCCAATGATGCTTTTTGAA